TCCATGAACCTGAATTTCTCTTTCAATTGAGTTTCTTGTCAGCTTGATCTCCAACTCCTCAATCCTCTTTCTTGTATTTGGCCAACTCATCTTCCTCGGGGCAGTTTTTTAAGCTCATAAAACCAACACTCATCTTCAATTCCATCAATATGCTCTTCTCCTCCTTCTTTGCCTTCACCTGATCCAGTTCACTTCCATGCCCTTCAATACCCTCTCCATTTTCATTAATATCTTGATCATCTACCACTTCTCTCTCTTCAGCTGCTCTGATTTTGCATCTATGTCTTTCAATAATCCTTGGTTCAATCACTACCCTGACCAACTGCCTCTTCACTGCCTTCACTTGCTCCAAACTATTTCCATGACTTTTTATACACCTTCCTCAAAATCACAATCAACTAACCAATATTAATCCATGGCCTTGGATCAGTTTTAAACTCTCTATGAACATCTCAATACCACATAGTCTAAATCTAAATATTCTTTCAGTTAATCATGAACTTGAGTTTATCAAAATCTAATCCACTCTTTCTAAGCTGGGATTCCCATCCCCCAAGCTCATTTTTGGTTCATTTGATCCCACATAACCATGATATTATACCTCTAACTAAAATAAATCAAAGCATTTTACGAAAAGAAACCGAACCATGAACTTTACCTGCTACCAAATCCAAACACAATTTCTTCCTCTCGCCACTTCCCTTCCCAAACCCAATATCAACTTTTACTCCAAGTTCACACCCCCAACTCCCAGTGTTTTGCGTGAAAGCTTAATTTTAGCAATCATTATGTTTGCAATTAGATTAATGGACATCAGCAAGCGCCAAAATTCCACCAGACGATGAGTTGTCTTCACTTTGAGTTTTGTCATAAAACTACTGGCCCGATATGTTTATCAGTTTGGAGCCATATGATGAGCAATATCGAATCAGTTGCAGCGAAGTTATCGGTCACAGTAATGACAATGTGAAACATGTGTTAACTAACGCGAATATGGGTTACTTTTATGGATTGACATTAGAATGATGGGATTGGACAATGAGATCGTCCTTAGTTAAGCGACATGTAAATTGGTTCATTTGGTATGGAGGATACAAACCGTTGAAATTCTAAATTATTTGGGCGAGTTTGTATTTAGTGTTTTCAAAATAGTGATATATGAGTTAGGTGATTAAAATATCTAAACCCAAACGAACCGACTCACGTACACCTAGGGGTGGTAAACGGTTTACCGGTTAACGGTATAACCGGTTACCGAACCGGTAACCGCCGGTAATCGGTATACCGTTAACCGGTTACAACGAATTCGAACGATATTCGAACTCCATATAGTCTGTCCCGGTATACCGGTAACCGGTTTCAGAAAACGACGTGTTAACCGGATACCGATAAGCTAACCGGACACAAGCAACCAAAACCCCTAATTCCAATATGCCCCCATTCTTTCCTCTTGATCTACCACCAGTCCACTTCCTCCTTCTCATTCTTTCCTCTCGACCTGCCCCATCTGAGATTTACCTTCTCTTCTCATGGGCCATCTCTCTGTTCTTTCCGGTATAGTGTAGTAAAGGAAATAAAGGAATGGTGCGAAGCAGAAGTGAGTTCTTCTTTCTTCTCATCTTTTCTAGAGTTTGGGGCAAAATCAGGGGAAGAAAATCATAGAGAAATAGGGAGATTTCCGGAAGAAGATGGACATGCATCGCCTTTTTCCGCTCCTCCTCAGCCCTGCGCCCCCATCGCTACGTCTCTTGTTCAAATCGGCTTCCCCGACACCATCGCCGTCGTCGTCACCATCGGCTTTCCCAACCCCAACACCATCGCCATCGCGTCCATGTCGGCGGCTTCAGCCATCGAATCAACGACAATCAAGCCACCGTCAAGATCTTATCGGACATCGTCGCTCAGTCTCTTTCACTGCCGCCGTCGACATCAGAGTCCGGGCACTCTGTTTTCTCGAGCTCACTTATGTGAGTAATTGATTCCGCCTTGCCCAGATCTGAAAATGGCTTTTCAATCACCGGGCGCAGCTCTGTACCTCGTTCTCCTCTAAAGGACAGTTGGAATCGTTGAAAGGACAAGGGAGCTGAAGCAACCAGGGCCATGGATGCGAGTTCTCCACGAGGCGGAGAAAGCAACTCCGGAGATCGGAAACTCCAGACATCGCCGATTCGCCGCCAGATCTGGAACTCGCCGGTTGGGAGCTTGAAAGTCGGCGGTGAGAGAGGTTTGAGATCGGGAAACGAGAAATTAAATTTCTTCTTCTTCATCTACGCAAGCTAGCAACAGTCTTCGGGTAACCGGCAGAACACTGGTAACAGGATGATTCGGTATGCGGTATCCCGTCTCCGAGTCGGTATCGGCAATCGGCGGGATTTTGCTGGGGTGCGGTATACCGAATACCGGTTAATCGGTAACCGGTTTAACCGATACCGACCGTTTACCAGCCCTACGTACACCCCTAGGAAGAGTTTCAAAACTTAGTATTTAACCGGACAAAAATGTTCAGAGAATCAGTCCCCTATAGTTTGCACAAAGATATGATTGCTTCACTATAGTTCTGGAAATTAATGATAATTTAAGAATTCTATATCGCTTCTACATATTCAATACTATAATTCGATATGAAATATTCGAACCAACAATATTTTGGTTGCAAATTTATGGTTATCGTCTATTTATAAGTTAGATAACATTTTAAATTAAGCATTAAAGTATAATTAAAATAAAAAATATCAACATTGAAGTATCAAAACACCGAATAAGTACTTGCGAAATATTTATTGGGCTAGCTAACTGTTGAAAAGTTCTGTGATTTCATATTTTAGCTTCGTATATATTTTTAATTTAAAACATAAAACAAATCTACATAGTCTGATTGATTTTAAACCTTCACTTTGTTTGAAGTGACCATGGTTCAAATCTCAATATGTCTATCTTTTCCTTTAAATAAATAAAAAATACAGATAATTGTGAAGACAAAAATGTCCTTACTAATTTCCCTCTCATTGCAGGAAATTTGAAAAGGGAGATTAAGTTTCAAATAATTAAATCATATACCGTAAATCTATAGAACTTAAACCCTAATATCACATATACTAAGAAGATAATCAATGATTCTGATTCGCCAAGATGTATACAACAAACCATATGCACTATATTAGGATTTAGAGAATTATGATATAGGGTTTAGTTACGTGATTAATCTAGGGGCGTACTATTTGTAGCCCTAAATTATTTTTATTTGTAGTCCTAAATTATAAAAAGTACAATAATACCTATGACATTTAAATACATTTACTTCACACATTCCAAGACAAAAACATTCAAACACTTTTCCAAACACAATCCTACAATACTCGCCGCCGGCGACAGCCACCTCCCGCCGGCGACCGCCACCTTCCGACGACGGCAGACCCTTTCTCCGACGAGGTACGCCGGCAAATTACCCGACGACGATGGCCGGACGTCCTGCCGGGACGTTGCCGATTTTTTATTTTATTTTTAATTTTTTGTTAATTTAAATTTGTCAAGTATATTAGATTTTTTAAATAGATATTAATTTAAATTTTTCGGTTATTATTTTTGATTTTTTATAATAGATTGATGAATAATTTAGATTTTTAAGAACATTTAGTGATTTTATTACAGTTCATTATTTTATGAATATTTTAATTATCATATTGTTTAGAAAAATTTGTTCTAATATTATTTTTAAAATGAAGTTATTGAATTTTAATTTTTCATATTTTGAAACTAAGTTAATGTTTCCTGAATTTAGACTTTTAATTGCCATATTTTAATAATATGTAGTGTTTTTATTATTGTAATTTATTATTTTATGAATATTGTAATTATCATATTTTTAGTAGGATTTTTTATAATATTATTTGTAGAATGAATTTCTTTAACTTCATTTTTTATAATTTTGAAACTAAGTTAATGTTTACTAACAATAATTTAGACTTTGAAGAATATTTATTGATTTTATTGAGTTTATTATTTTATGATATTGTAATTATCATATTTTTTAGGATGGATTTGCTATAATATTATTTTTAGAATGAAGTTCTTGAATTTCATTTTTTTATATTTTGAAACTAAGTTAGTATTACTGAAAATATTTTTCTTGTATGTATTTCTTGAAGTTGGTCAAATTCGGACTTCTGGATATCACTACATCAGATAATGAGTAACACGGTTAGTGAGTTAAACTTTTTAATTTTAGAATCATGTTGAATTATTTATTGTTATGATGAAGTCTAGTAATTGATAATATGCTTAAATATTTGCTTTACAATGATACATATTGTTTGAAAATGTTGAATTATTGATTTTACTGTCTTGTTGATAATTTAATTAGTACGTGTCTACTTGTTAAATTTTTTTTTTTATTGCATGTTGAAATATTAGGATTTGGTAGTTAATCATGCTAAATGTGCTAATTTTTTGTTGAAAATGTATTGGATTAGTTAATGTTCAAATATTGAATAATTGTTAACAACGTTGTGTTGTTGATAATTTAATGAATACGTGTCTACTTGTTAAAAACTTTTTATTGCATATTGAAATATTAGGATTTGGTAGTTAATAATGCTAATGTGCTAATTTTTTGTTGAAAATGTATTGGATTAGTTTATGTTCGAATATTGAATAATTGTTAATAACGTGTTTAATATTTTTTAATAAGAAGATAAATATAAAATCTAATATTGCAAACAAGTCATCAAAGTTTCTAAAACTTACATAAGACTCAATCCATTTTCAAATTGTAAGAATTCAATTTACAACAAACATTACAAGTCATGAAAAGTGTTGAAACTTATGTAAGACTCAATCTATATCAAATTGGAATAATTTAATCTACAACAAACATTTCAAAATTAGTATCACTAATAAGATAAATGTGTTTATTTTAGGGAGATCCGAAAGATAAGGGAGACAAAGTTGATTATACTCAATTTTTCATAACAAATACAAGATATAAGTCATGGAATGAAGCTATGGAAGCTACGAAAGTGATTGCAAAAGATCTTGGGTTCTTTTTGACACATTCATCAACCAAATCAAATGATGGCGAGAAGTACCCCCGAATATATCTTCACCGCCATCGTGGATATAAGAACAATACATATGTCCCAGATCCGGATAAGAAAGGACGATCCAACACAAAGTCACTTAAAGATGGTTGTCGTTTTCGAGTGAGACTGGTGGGACTCCCGGAGGATAAGACCACACTTGACGACGTACCAATGTCGAGAGTCTTAGTTGACAATGGCGCCGCAGTAAACGTGATGCCAACAAGGATGCTGAAGAAGTTGGGCAAGAACACTAATGACTTGATCCCAACAGAAGTGTTTGTGACAAGTTTCAATGGCGGGTCCACTTCTGCTAGGGGAATCCTCCCAGTGGTCGTGGGAGTTGGATCACAGAAGCGGATGAGTGCTTTCTTCGTGGTGGATGGAATGATAAGCTACAACGCACTACTTGGTCGGGATTGGATCCACGCCAACAAGTGTGTTCCTTCATCACTGCATCAGTGTTTGATGTTTTGGAATGAAGACGGTGTTGTTGAGGTGGTACAGGCTGACACAAAGCCGTTTGCCGTTGGGGCCAACGTGGCCGAAGCTTATTTGTACCATGGAGATTTTGGACCACTCGAAATCAGGAGCGGGGATGGAGGAACGACCAACGTCATAGTGTCAAGTGCACAGGTGTTGAGTAAGGCGTGTTTGGATCCATTGTCCGAAATCGTGAGACCATCGATGATCACATTGGATGGTCCACCGAAATCTGTTAAACAAGTCGATGATGAGTGAACCACCTCGAGAGAAGGTGGTGGAGGCCGAAATCACGGCCTTGCGGGAGAAGTTGGCCGTCTATCAGTGTGAACAGAGGCTTGTCTGCATAGAGCCTGTCTTGATGGCCGACTGTGTTCCCGACGATGATGACTTGCCGACTAACGGCGAGGGTGTGAGTGACGAAGTGGAGAAGAAAAGCAACCTTGCTGCATGTGACATTTTAGAGGAGATCAACCTCGGCACGGAGGAGGATCCACGCCCAACCTTCATCAGTGCCGGTTTGCCAGAGTCTGACAGGTACGAATTAATTGAATTCCTTAAAGAGTTTAAAGATTGCTTTGCATGGGATTATCATGAAATGCCTGGTCTTGATAGGAAGTTAGTTGAACATAGACTTCCAATTAAAGAAGGGTATAAGCCACATAGACAACCACCTAGGCGTTTCTCGCATGATATCTTGCCGGAAGTGAAAAAGGAAATTGAACGTTTAATTAAGGCTAAGTTTATTAGGACTGCTAGATATGTGTTGTGGTTGTCGAATATTGTGCCTGTCAGAAAGAAAAATGGCAAAATACGTGTTTGTGTGGATTTTAGAAATTTGAACAATGCTACACCGAAAGATTTGTATCCCATGCCGGTGGCTGACATGTTAATCGATGCCGTAACCAGGCATGTCAGGTTTTCTTTCATGGATTGTTACTCGGGCTATAACCAGATATACATAGCCGAGGAGGACGTACACAAAACGGCGTTTCGGTGTCCAGGATCTATTGGCTGTTTTGAGTGGATTATGATGCCATTTGGATTGGCCAACGCGGGGCAACTTACCAACGAGCCATGAATGCAATATTTCATGACCTGATTGGCGAGCTTGTCGATGTGTATGTGGACGACATCGTCGTCAAATCAAAGGTGACAAACCACCACCTTGCTCATTTGCGCAAAGCATTTCTGCGTATGCGTGTTCATAAGTTGAAATTAAATCCGCTCAAATGTGCATTTGGTGTGAGTGCAGGAAATTTTCTTGGTTTTCTGGTAAACCAACGTGGAATTGAGGTAGATGGCAACAAAACAAAAGCCATCATCAATGCCGCACCACCATCCAGTAAAAAAGAGTTGCAACGTTTCCTCGGCCAGGTGAACTATATTCGAAGATTTATCTCGAATTGTGTTGGCCGGACCCAAGTGTTTTCCTCACTGCTGAAGTTGAAGAAGGAAGACAAGTTTGTATGGAGGGAAGAACATCAACGAGCATTTGATGATATCAAGAGATACCTGGCGACTCCGCCGGTGATGAATTCTCCCAAAGCAGGGGTGCCGCTGAAGTTGTATTTGTCGGCCACGGACACTTCTGTGGCATGTTTGTTGGCTCAAGACAACGAAGCAGGCAATGAAGAAGCCATTTATTATCTAAATAGGGTTTTGAACGAGGGCGAGAGAAAGTATTCCCCCATAGAGAAGTTATGTTTAGCGTTGTACTTTTCTTGTACAAAGCTACGCTACTACCTGGTCCCTGTCCAGGTACAACTCATTTGCCAAACAGACTTGATTAAATACATGCTATCTCGGCCAATTATTCATGGCCGAATTGGCAAGTGGACCTTGGCTCTGTCTGAATTTAATTTAGAGTATGTACCTCAACGAGCCATAAAAGGGCAAGCATTGGCGGACTTCTTGGCAGATCATCCCTGCATTGAGGTATCAATCGATCCCGTAGAAGTTTGCGAGGTTGGTATAACGCCATGGATCCTGTATTTTGACGGATCCAAAACTCGTGGCGGGGCCGGTGCTGGCGTGATGTTGAAAGCACCATCAGGCCGGGCCATGCATTTTGCATTCTCGTTGGATTTTCCTTGCACCAACAACCAAGCTGAATATGAAGCTTTGGTAGTCGGGTTGGAAATGCTCATTGAGCTTGGAGCCCGCTACGTGGATGTTAAGGGAGATTCACAATTGGTGGTTCATCAGGTCCGCGGAGATTTTCGCTGTATCAATAGCGTTCTAGAGACGTATCTGGACCATGTATTGTCGTTGACTTCCCACTTCGACAGTATGGCGATCAACTTTGTTCCTCGAATGGACAATTGCGAAGCCAACTATCTTGCACAAATGGCTTCGGGATTTAGAGAGTTTGCGAAAAGCAATGCAGTAGAGCAAATAGTGGTGAAAACACTTAAGCCCTTGCGGGAGCGATTGAAAGTTGAGCAAGTGTGCGTAATAGAGAAAGACGCAGATGACTGGCGTGCGCCACTGTTGTCTTACTTGCAAGATCCGAACACGGTTGTTGACCATGCCATCAAGTTTAGAGCAAGGAGCTACGTAGTTTTGGATGGGACCTTGTATAAACGCAGACCTGATGGGTTATTGCTGAAATGCTTGGGGGGCAAGGAGGCATTGCAAGCCATGGCAGAGGTGCATGAAGGAATATGCGGAGCTCACCAAGCCGGTCCTTCCATGCGATGGATTCTACATCGCTATGGATTCTACTGGCCCACCATCGGGCCAGATTGTGCCGCATATGCCAAGGGCTGCGAGGCTTGTCAACGTCACAGTCCTGTTCAAAGGGCGCCGGCGGTTGACCTGAAGTCAATAATCAAACCGAGGCCATTTTATGGTTGGGCCATGGATTTGATTGGTATGATTTATCCCCCATCGTCAAAGAAACATGTTTTCATAATTTTGGCCACTGACTACTTCACTAAGTGGGTAGAGGCCAAACCGTTGAAAGTGGCGAACCAAGAGGAAGTGATTTCTTTCATACAAGAACATATTATCCACCGATTTGGTTTGCCGGCAACGATAACGGCGGACCAAGGAACTGTGTTCACTGGGGGGCAAGTTATGGAGTTTGCGGCGGAGCGGGGGATAAAGATTATCCATTCCACGCCGTATTACACGCAAGCTAACGGGCAAGCGGAAGCATCCAACAAAGTAGTGAAAAATATTTTGACGAAGATGATCGAAGATAATCCGCGACGTTGGCATGAAATTTTATCAGAAGCGTTGTGGGCATACAGGATGTCCCTGCGGAACAGTACGAGAGTGAGTCCATTCTCGTTAACTTACGGTCATGAAGCATTCCTTCCCGTGGAGGTGACCGTCAACTCACTCCGGTATATGAAGCAACACGAGTTGACACCTGAGGAGTATCATGAATCAATGATGCTTGAGCTCTGCGATCTTGATGAACTTCAACTCCGCGCCCTCGATAATGTTCAAGTACAGAAAGCAAGAGTAGCAAGAGCTTATAACAAGAAGGTTCGGCATAAATCGTTCGAAGAGGGCGAACTGGTTTGGAAAGCTCACTTGCCAATTGGGGAAAAAGATCCCAAATTTGGAAAATGGTCGCCAAATTGGCGTGGACCATTTGTAGTACATTCGGTGCGTCCTAATGGAGCCTACTTGCTGAAAGACTTGGATGGAGTGATGCATGAGCGTTTAATAAATGGCAAATATTTAAAGCCATATGTGCCGTCCTTATGGGACGCAGCTGGTCATTAATCTGAATAATGACGATCAACCATGTGCTAAAAGGGTGTGGCCTCGTCGGCCACCAAGCTTGCACAACGTGGTTGAATAGTACGGTAATGGCGAAGTAGGCAACAAATAAACTAATTCGCCAGCTTCGTCACCAATAAAGAAATTTTTTAATGCCTTTAAGGCCAGCGGCAGGGTTCACTCGAGTCCAGCCGGTGCGGTACCGCTGTTCGGTACCAAAATGTTCCAACCTTATCAAATGAAGCTGTTTTTGCCACGAGAAGTAGGCATGAGTAACTGCGTTGTTGGGCATGGACGATTCGGTACTCGGTATAAGAAAAATAAAGAAGGCTATCGTGGCTAGAACTAGTTAGTCAGCCATGCTCAAACACGGCCGTCGAGATTAGAGCGACGTTACGGATTAAAGGAAAGAGAGCGGCCGTTTGCCAAAATTAGATAGACAATGATGAGCAAACAAAGTTGTTCATAGGTCGAGTTAACATGGCAAATTAGAGTATGTAATCCGAGAAACAAGGCCAAAACAAAAATCCAAAGTAAATTCCGAAATGCATAAAAGAAATTCTTTAGAAGTCAGACGGCTCGTGATCGGCGAGCTGCTGGGCAATGCGGGATAGAGTGGTGCGGACCCGAGTGAAAAAGCTTTGCACTGCTTGCAGCTCAGCCTGTGCTTCTATCTCCGCATGAGTCGGCATCGTACTTGCTCTAACCACCTGCAGAGCTGGTGCCACGGCTTTCCCCCGTTCCACTAGGTCTTTACCCACTGTGCGGAGGAACGCCATGTCAGCATCACTAAGTGGTGGGATGTTAATGCTCAAGCTCTCCAGAGTTTTTCAAGCAGAGCCAGGCCATAATATGGTTTGGTCACTCATGGAAGTCACCAGAGGAATGCTAAGAAATTGGTCCATCATCTTCAATGCTTCTCTGACCCGGCGCCGAAGTTCAGCCATGGGTGACGCGGGGAGTGAGCTAGATGATGCCATCGCAGTGTTGAAGCCGTACCTGGTGTCAAAATCGGCGGTGTCCTGCTGCAAAAAGAAGCAAGGGTGTGAGTGGGAGTTTAGCTAAAAGATGGTCGCGTAGTCGTGTAGTATGGGAAAGCATGAGGAAAGCTAACCTCGACGACGGGAGTGGTGCGAAGAGATGGAGGGGGGCGAGTAAGTGGATGATGACTCTCCACAACTGCAATAAGTAAGGTTTCAAGAGGGCGGCGAACACTTACATGAGTAATGCGGGAGTTAAAATATGAATGTCACAGCAAGCATAAAGAGGAGTGCGAGGACGAGGATCATACCTGCTCGCCGTTTCAAGTGAGTATTGAATGTTGATGTAGTTGAACCACCATCGTGGTCAGGAGCAAGCCGGGTGAGGATATCAGATAACGGCTTGCCGAAAATGCGGGAAGCTAGTGAATTCCATGCATCCTTGAACTGGGGCGAGACTTTATTCACCACGTTTTTATGAGGAGGAAAGTATTGTGCAGATTCTTGGTAACCTCGTACCTCCATAATTTGTCCAGCGGTAAGCTCCGAAGAGCGGATGTGGAATTTTGGAAAATTCAAGGATGAGGGTGGTAACATAGGCCATTCTTGAACGAGGTTGAATTGTCGAGCAGCAAGCTGAGGGTTGTAAGTCTCAATACTGAGTACTTCTGAGCCGGTAGGAGCAAAGAGGAGGTCCCGAGCTGTCAGGTACCGTTTGCGCTCCTCGGTGAATTCATGATAGGCAGCGGCAGCGGGATCACCTTGCGGTGGTGGCTTGTCAAAAACGAGTTTGAAAGAAGCGGGGCCGAATATCCGTTCCGCGAAAGGGGTGAAGCTAGGAATCTCGCTGACCCCATAAAAGAAGGTAAAATAATTAGTGAAATCCTCTTTCCGCGAAGCTGCTTTAGCCAAACAATGGCCATATGTGAGCATGGTGGTATCTCGAACGGCCGTTTGAAGAGCTGGTAGAGGGCCGCGAGTCGTCGGGAAATAAGCTTGCAACCAAAGTTGTAGTAGCCATAGAGGGCCAGCACTGAGGATGCCACCTTCGCTTGGAACCTCTTTGACACTGTAGACACCACTTTTTGTCCGGGTTAAATTGTTAAATTAAATAAATTTTAGTTTTCGTTTAACTTGGCAATAGCGAATCACACACACCTTTTTTGCTAAATATGAATGAAGGTGGTTATGGTGAGTATGGTTGTCGCCTTTTTTTGCTAAATATGAATAAAGGTGGTTATGGTGAGTATGGTTGTCTAGACCCTACAAGATTTGCAATAGCAAATCTAAAGGTGGTGGAATGACTTAAAGTTGCGGTAACTTGTCACATTTGTGTTTTGATTAAGAAAGATTGGCATTGCGCTTTATAGTCAAGATGGGATTATAAAAATTGCGACTTGGGTTGGAGAATGGTTTTCAAATAATTCCCCAATTGCTTCAATGGAATTGATTTCTTTTGATGTTGTCTCCATGAGGTTTGGGTTTCAATCTGGTACAATAATAAATAAACACCCTTTTGTTAAAACTCTTACCACTTACAAATAACCATTACAATTAATTACAAACAACAATTCTATTACACAGAATAATACATTAGGCCCAAGTTAAGAAGACAAAGTCAAAGCCTAGCCCACTTGGGTCAATGTCCGTCCAAAGTCAACTAAGGCCTATACCAAAGGTCAACGAAAGTCAACTATGGTCAAGCCAAAGTCAACAAAATCAACCCAAACAGGCCTGACCCAGACAGGTCTGGCCAAACCCGCTACTGTAGAAACTTGTTCCCCAAGCTGCCATTTTTCTATAAAAAAGGACCCTTTGGGTTCTTGCAAAGGGAGGACTTCTTCTGTTGCTGTGGTTCTTCTTCTTCCTCCCCACGAACGAAAAGAGCTCTTCTCTTCTCTTCCACTTCCCAATTTCTTTCTTCTGAGAATTCCTTTCTCCTTCTTCAATATACAGACAACAAAAATTTCCCTCCCCTCCCCTTCCCTTCGCTGCTACTGCTACTGTTTCTTCTTCTTCATAGACACAAACAAACGACAACACCACACAAAGTCATAAGTAGCAAAAAGCAGCAGCCAAAGGCAGTAGCAACCAGCAAAGCTCCCAAAAAGCTAGGGGAAGAGGCAGCAGCCATCCCCTTCACCAAAGGGCAAGCAAAAGGTTGGTTAACAACAAATAACCCAACAACTGATTATTCATTTGTTTAGTTCATGTCGACTCATAATTAAAGTTTACCAAAAGCCAAAACCCACCTCCAAGCTCAAGCAACGCCATTCAAATTACAAAACGGCTAATCTCACCATGATAGCAAAATAAATCAACAAATCGAGTTTACTGCTTTCTTTATAAGTTCATCATATTCCTTTCGAGTCTATCAGATTTTGTCATTCATTTCAGTATTATCTATTAAAATATTTCCATGATTGAGCATATCCACAAGTAAAAGCTAGATGTTTCCTTTCTGTGTTTTGTGTCAGTCGCTTTGATTAGTATATCCAATCCCAAACAAGCCTATATAACTAATATCATGAGCTACAATAAAAGCTAGTTCTGTTTTCTCTGCTATATTTTGTATTTTACTTGGGAGTTAGGACACCCATCTTATGTAAAATTAAACCACCCCAAAGTAACTAGCTACCGCAAAACCATCAATAATTTTCAGCCATAAACCATAACATATGAATCTCGATACACAACCCAGATTCGTAACACTATCAATTTATCAAAACTAACCAGAATCAGTCATCCCATATTATTCAATCAAGGTAAAACCAAAAGGATCAACAAACCCACTACTCTAGTCAACCTATAGCCTAAACCACGGGCACACCTTTCAACCACCATTTTTCATAACCCACAAAGTTTACAGAGTGTAAAGCCACAACAGATATCATAAGGTTTCCAGATTCCAATCCACATCGTAAAATCATCAGACTCAATCATCACAAAACCGAACTCTTAGAACCAAACCACCAAATTGATTTGAGCACTAATTTTGATTTGTCAAGCTTTACCCCAGGAAAATAGCTAAATCGATACCTTAGCAATCCATGGGAATTCCACATTGTCACAATCCATAAAAACGAGCCTATAACCCATATTAACTCACAAACACAGTCATTTTCTCAAAACATTGAACACTTTCCGTTCACAGTCATGAAATCCACTCTCAAAACCTCCTAACCAGTTTAAGAAGAAGGGTATTACTAAAAATCTTGCTTGTTTAGAAGCTATTTAGTCAGAATAAAGATCTAAACAAGCGAATCGGAAGAAATAGGAAAAATAAAAAAATGATTACCTTCTTTCCCGATGCCCTCTCGTCGCCGGCGGGTAGTTGCAGTCGCCGGCGGTTGATGCTTCGACACCGACGCCACTGTCATCGTCGACGAAGCGGTACCCCGTTCACCGCTTCTCCGCTCTCCGTATTCCTCTGTTCCAAAACCAAAAACCCAGACCATAAAGTTCCAAGTCCCCAAATTGAAACCCCAAATCAAACAGAAAACATACATGCAATCCGTAATCTTACCTAGATTGACATTTTCTGGTCAATTTTGGGTGGTCCTCGCCGTTTCTTGTGGCCGGCTGTCAAAACTCTAATCTTCTTTGGACTGAGAAAAAAGTCGATCAGATGGAGGCTCTTCTTCTTCCTTCTGGTTCGTTTTCCGTCGAACAGAGGAGGAAAAGGTAAGAGGTTTTTGGGTTGGTTGCCTTCTCTCTTTCTCGCTGTTTAGTTTTCGTTTATGAAAGAAAGAAGAAGAGATTTTGCGGCCAATAGGTGCTAATGGGGAGATTTTAACTCATTCTCAGCCAAAACAATTAACCATTGTTTTGTCCATTACTAATCCTTCCAGTTAATTATGTTATAAACTAAGCTTAACACACAAAGCTCTTAACTACTGGACGCATGTTAAATTTCTTAATTTGGTTTAACTCAGAATTAATCTCATCACTTCTAAACATTTACTCCTTATTTTTGTTGCGGCATCAGAGTTTATTAATACGAAATTATAGCAAAAATACCTTAATATATTAATTTATGACGAAATTATGTCAAAATTGTTAACCACTCAATTACCAAAATGCATTTCATAACAACTCAAATCATTATCTTAATCATGTGTCAATAAAACGTGTTAAGGTCTCTTTTTTAAATCGTTCAAAATAAACGAACTACGTGGACTTTGATCCCGACTAAGTCGGGTACGTAGGCAACCGATAGGTTCGAGTCCAACTAATTATAAAACTCTTTCTTTACCTTTCGAGATTTACGTCAATAGTCGTAATGATCGAATCGTATATTAATAAATATCAAATTAAATCAAATCATATAATTAAATACACAATAATGCACAAACAATAACACACCCAACCCTTTTAAAACTTATCGATTTAAGTAGTACCCATTTGGGGCGTTGTGGGGTGTGAATACACTTCCCCACACGTAACCGTACTCCCAAACCCAAAATCTAAAATTCGCAGACCAGAATTCTGGTTTTAACAAAAATTAAAACCGGAAATGGGTGTTCGATCCACCCCAAGTATGGTCGATGGCGACTCCAAATCGATTCGCGAGCTTTCCCCGATTTTCCGAGGGCGGTTGCGACAGACACGATTCACGACAGTATACAGACCGCGATAGAGGTGGCAGAGCACAATTTCATCAAGATTGACACATTTGCCGGTGAAGATTGCAGCGGTCGTATGCGCATCCGTGTTGGGTTGTTGGGCGCAAAGCACGAATCGGCCAAACCAGTAATGGAGAAAGGCCACCCGCTCGTTGTCGGATACAGGTTCGCCAGGGGTGAGAGGTGCATTGCTGTTGTAGAGTGATTTGTAAGAGCGGCCGAAGACCATCAATGAAGTTGGATCCAAGGCTCTATTCGATGGCACACGCGGCTTTGATATGCCGGTCAGGGCCGCTATGTCGAGCAGAGTGATCGTCATCGAGCCTAATGGGAGCACGAAACAGTTCGATTCCGTTGACCAGAAGCAGATAGCGGCTTTGAGCAAATCGGGATCAGGACTTGGCAGCTCTGAACATAGAGAGAGGAAGCGGTCGAGGCCTAATGCCTGCCATTGAGATACAGTTGTGGCATCATGGGCCAACCGACCATGCCAACGTTTGAAGTCGGGATCCGGGATGGCCAACGGGAGGGCTCGGGTCTTCCATTTAAAGAGGGGACTGATATCGAGAAGGCGAAACAGAAGCTGGGAATCGTGAATTGGAAAGGCGTCCAAAAGCTCCATAATGGCAGTGGACCGATCGCGAATGAGTGGACCAAGCCATCCCTCCTCATTGTCGTCTTTCGATATTATCTCGAGAGTGAAATCAGCATCGGCCAGGGTTCCCAAAAAGTCTCGACGTTCCCCCGGAGATAACGGGAGGAGAAACGCAACGAGGCTGCATTCACAAAGAAGTTATTAGGGTTAGTGATAGTCATACAGGCGGTGGTGGCCGATCGCTAGACCAAAAACAGGCGTATAAACGGCTAGAGATGACAACATTAAGGGGAGTGATCCAGTTTCAATATCAATGCGAAGTTGAGATTGCAGAACTTACTCGGTGATCGACGAGAATCCTGGCAATGACATGGCGGTGACTTCAGCTGCGCAGAAATTTGAGGTACGGTTTTCTGCTCAGTGGATCGTTGTTGAGTAAAGTTTTGTTTTGTTTTACTCGGATAAATTTAGGGTTGGCACATGTGACCTATTTATAGAGAATTGTTGCGGTGAGGTAGAAGGAGATAGTGTCCTTTTTGGTTTGGGTTTACGTCGTTGGTAGGGAGAAGAAAAAGAAATATATCCGCGAGGCTGGGCGAGGGTTGCCGCAACAGGCGAACCAAAATTTTAACAGTGAGCAAAGTGGTTTTGGGCCCGAACAGAATGGTTGAGGTCCGCTGCAATGTTAATCCGCAAGTGTAGAGTTGCTTCCTCCAAAACCAATGCCAAAAAGTTGGTCGCAATAATAATAATAATAATAAAAAAGAGGGAAAGAAAGGTGCCAAGACGTGGCTATTTAATTTGAACAGCACTGCATGGTTCATTCATCGTTGCAGCATTGCGATAGAGTCAATTGGTTGTGGTGCGGATAAAAATAGCCGCATAGCAGATGCGTAGCGCATATTAACGCACGCCGTTTTTCCAAACAACGCTGCAAGCGAAAGTTTAAGTTCGAAGTCCAGCCACTTGTATCTATTGTGCCGCAACGTGGCTTGGCATGCACCAAATTGGTCCTTATTGCTGTTATTATTTTATGGGCCAATTTGTTCGCAGTTAATGGTCTTTCTCTGGTCCACGATTGGTTATATGCATCTTTGATAGTGCCATTGATGAGGTGTGGCCAACTATGGTCGTTTTTATTCGGGCGTCATGGAAGAGAGGTGCAGCGACGCCGTTTGGGGTTCCTTTTGTAAACGATGTCGTCTTGGCCTCAATGGCTAGGAAAATGATATTGTAGCCGAAAAACAAATCTGTTTGAAGAGCAAAACGAGGTTGTTCTGGAAAGATAACTTTGCGGCAGCGACAGGGAAACAACTCTGTATAAAAAAATAAAATTCAGCTTGCTCAGCCTAAATGGTGTCCTCGCACTGCTATGGCCAAAGTATAAAGAATCTTGGAAACTTTGTCGGCCAGGGTAAACAGCCCTGCGGATGTTGTTATAACAGGAAGATATCCAAATTCGGTGGGGTGGGGGCAAGACTACGAAGCGGAGCTGTTTAGTTTTCTATGGAACGATGTCGTTTTAACTTTCATGACAACGGGCCAAAAATGCAACAGTTCACCGCTTGTCATCTCTGTGTTGTCTTTGCCGCAAAGAAGTTCAGAGAAACAGGAGTGTTGGGCGTTATTTTAAAGGGGGACAACAACAAATTAAACAAGATACAGCAGAATATGCATGGGTGCGGGCATGGATGATCAAGAAAAAACCAAGTATGTGGCCATATAATGGTGAAGTGAAGGCAAATCAAATTTGCTGGACAGACACCGTGTTAGGCAGGGATCGCTGCTGCAATGGTGAGTAAGCTTAAGATGATTTTTGGTTTTGTTGGTGGCAAAGGTGTGGCCGTATTTCCATAAGGAGAGAAGCATGCCATTGATATTTCTTGTTGGGGGAGGAGACTTCGGTAAAAGAATGCATGGAGTAGTAAATGGGCATCGTCATTCAGCCAGGACTGTTGGGGGAATTTTGTTTAACAATATAAAGGAATTAAGGACCAATTAGGGTAGTTTTTCTCAAAGTAACGATGGAAGAGTGAGGCCGCGACGTCGTGTTGTCTTTGTCACCCCAGTGTGGAGAAAAAGACGGAAGCATATTATTTTTGGCCAAAACAACGTTGTTTAGGGCTAAAAGAAAAAATAATAAAATAAAGGTGACGAAACGTGACTCACTCCTACTGTCACCCTAGAAAATGGCCAAGTATAACCACTTCCTAAAGCGTAGTATAGCGGGTCGGGTTTTAATGTCAACCCGGGTCCTAGATATGATGACTACTCGGTGAATTCTTGTTATTTAGCGGTGAACTTTTAGTGAAACTCAAGCAAACAAAACACAAAGCAAGTAAACGGTTTGTTGTCAAGTCAAGAGAGGTCACCCGGATATGGTTTCCCCCTAGACTGCAGTTAAGTCGGATTGCATTTTACCAAGTTCAGTTTTCATGAAAGTTATACTGCGGAAGGTTCTCAATTAGCCTGAAGTCTCGACTAAAGGTCTCCAGACCCTCTCAATCTGAGTCTCTAGCGGGCGACTAACCTCCACCGGAGTAAACAAATTGAGGCCCTAATGAACCAAACCTCCACTACCGAATTGACTTCGGTACAGAATAGCGAATTGGCCCCTCGACTAAAGTCACCAATTCGCCACCTTCGATTAAAGGTACTCTATCAACCTAGGCAGATATTCTCATTCCAGGTCAAAGCAGAAACAACAGGAATTTGATCAGGATTCAAGTCATTCAATCATTCAAACCTCAATCGAATATAATCAATTCACAAACACTGTACTTGGGTTCATACAATCAGACCTAGCATACAAATCTAGGGTTCTCCATACCCAGATGAATGGGGAAACTACTCCATAGAGAAAGAAGCAAAAGCAGATTCAGACACGAAAATCATACTGTGAAGTTGGATTCATGCTTCTGGACGTTTAATCGCACTTCTCCAAGCTCAAGACGGGCTCCAATGGTGTTGAAGATCGATCTATGGCGCTTGAGAACTCTGGTTCGACGCTTTCTCTCTCTAGGTATCGGTTTCTCTCTCAAAAACTCGGAACCCTTTGAAAATTGGCATTCTTCCTCTTTTATCAGCTGACCCCGCGATACCCGGTCGAAATACCCGGTCGGGTATTTTATGGTTCGACCGGGTATTCCGAAACGCACCGTTCCATTAAAGGGGAAAATCCCCGGTCTACCACCAAAATCCCCGACCGGGGATTTAACTGCTTTGCCCGGGCCCCTCTCTGCTTCTCGGGCGCCCAAAAGTGGTTAATACCCGGTCGGGTATTTGGCCAACCGACCGGGTATTTTCCTCCTTCAGCCCTATTCGTCCCAACTTTGCTCCTTTCGACCCAGAACTCGTTTCTCCGCCTCGATTCCAACGCCGGGACCTGAAATATGACATAAACACACAACCTAGCGTGAAATCGGCTTAAAACACGAGATTCCTCGTCACAAACGGCCTCAGAATAGGGGTAAAAACATGTATAATTATCGGTCTATCAAAACGCTACCGTGAGGACGAAGGGCGGCGGCGGGAAGTTGTTTTAGAGTATGGGTTCGGCCAAAACAACAGTGATTACTGAAATATCATTGCTGGTAGAGCAAATTTTTCGGCATCGATGA